CACACAAACACACAAACACACAAACAAACAAACAAACACGCACACGCTCAGTGGCTCACGCACACATGACTTTCGGAGACGGATCTGCTATAAAATTCACACTCTTCATAACGCGTTATCGCTATGCGAACCATACTCTGATCATGAGACTCAGTAAAACCACACAAGGGAGTTGAGGCAGGCGAGACACTCGGAGACATTGGTATTAGATAAGACATGATCAAAAGATGGGCGAGGACGGCTTGGAATAAGATATTGGCACACTGGCCCTATAGATAAGACGTCAGGAGACACTGTCATTGGATAGGATACCAGAAGAAAAGGTTTTTCAATGAGATTTAGAAGTCAGATCCTTTAGGTAAGACCTCAGGATGCATTTTCATTAGATTTGCTAAGATAAGACAGTACCATTACACGCTTTCAGTTAAAACATCAGAAGGTAGAACCACTAAACAAGTCTCATTAGGCAACAGACCATTTACATCATTCAAGTTAGGAAATCATTTGTGTGACAAAATTAAGAGACCATTTTGCAGGAATGTAGGGCACACTGAGCTTTTAGATCATCAGAAGATAGACGCAGTAAACAAGACATACGGATACATACTCTTTAGAAAATGCACTAGGAAGTCATTTGAATAAGACAACGTTGATATAAGGTTTTAGATAAGGAAATAAAATTGGGTGGTGCCACGTAATGTTTAATCTAATGGTGCTATCTCTTAATATTTTATTACAATTTTATTTCCTTATCTAAAACCTTATATCAACATTGTCTTATTCAAATGTCTCCCACACTGTGTCCAGATCATTTATCCAATGGCTCTGTGTGTTGACATTTAGAAATGTTATCTACATATGTATCATCATGATACATATATAGATAACATTTCTAAATGTCAACACACAGAGCCATTGGATAAATAATCCGGAAACAGTGTGGGAGACATAACCTGGCCTGTGTGCTGGCACTGCTGTAAAGTACTGCTAACATGGCCATACTTTGACCAATTTGTTTCCTTATTCCAGCATATTCGAATAGTCTGTCTGTATTCATCACTTACTCGTGTTTGCGCATTTGCTACACGTGAGCATATATACAGTCAGACATGAACATAATGGGGGAAATCAAAGGAAATTCCGAAACTCCTTTTTCTACCGTGAATCCCTTACAGTCACATGTCTATATATAGAGGCGACATCGCTATTCCTACATGAGCACCACTTATGGGAAATGCCAAAACTGTCCTTTATACACAGGTGTTCCTTTCTACAAAGGTTTTCTACAAAGCTAAGAGCTAACATAGGTCTGACCGAATACGTATGTGTGTACGATCCAATACATATCTTGCACAGAATACACATCAATACACGACCTAGGAACGAGATACACGATTTATGGCCGATAGAAGACGATCTAAGAATAAACGCAGTGGGTTAACTCATAATCGATCATCGATCTATAGCCTCGTCATCGACGGGGAAGGTGGGTGTGTTAGGACAGGGTGGTGTACATGCTAATAAAGTTTGACTCCGGAGAGATGGACGGAAATTTCGTCAGTGTAAGTTATTTGTAACTTAATTTGGATCTAACTGAAATCAACTTTGTTAGCATGTGAACTATACAGATCCGATGGAATTATTCAATCATCCGGGTGGTGTAGTAGGTGACAGCTGCGGCTTACCTGAAGCCTGGAGGCTTCTGCCTGGTGCTGCTTGTCCCGTACGTTGTTCTCCAGCTCCGAACATCGCTTCTTGTACTGAGTCACCTGCGCAGAATGGAGGACAGTGAGCGGTTAGCGGTGCTGGTCGTGTGTGCGGGGGAAGAAGCTGGATTGTTGGTATTTATTATCTATATTTGCGTCTGAAAGTCTGTTTGCCTGCATGTCCGTCTATCGGTTCGTCGGTCTGTCTCTCTGCCTGCCTGCGTGCCTGCCTGCTTGCATGGCTGCCTGCTTGACTGCCTGCCTGCCTGTTTGCCTGCCTGCCACCTGCCTGCCTGCCTACCTGCCTGCGCTGCGCTGACTGCCCTGCCTGCCTGCCTGCCTGCATGCCATAGGCGCTTGTCTTGCTGCCTGCCTGCCTACCTACTTAGCTGTCTGTTTGTAAATATGTTTGTCAGTCAAATCAACTACTCTAATTATAAATCTATCTATAATTGATCTATTTAATAATAAATTATATATCCATGTCTTACTTTGCTAATTTTATTTAAAAAAACGAAACATTTATGGGATGTTTAAACGAAATTCGTGGTGACGACAATCTGTGAACCATGAATAGATCCGAGACAAGATGAGTCCGAAAAAGGACCAGAAAAGTGAAGAAAGAGTGGGAGAGAGAGAAAGTAGAGAAGAAGAAAGGAGATAGTGAGAGAGTGATTGATTGAGATATATTGTTGTTTCTATTGTTGTCTTTGTAGCTGCCATTGTCATTGCATCGTTACAACAACGGACAAGATAACGATGACAACACGATGACAACGACCGATGAGACCACAAACGATGATTACTTTGGTATGATGATGACCCAGATGAACGAATGACACACGATGACGATGAACCATGATGATGACTGACAACGAATCAATGGTGATCATGATGACAATAACGAATGACAACAACGAACAGAGATGAGCCAACGACGACAACAGTGGACAAGACAAAAGACAAATGACGAGGACAATTAAACGGTCGACTCTGGCGCACAGACCGATGCGTGCTGGCGCGAAATACCTACTGCTCTCTCGCTCTGCTCTCTCTGCCTCTCTCTCATCATCTCTGCACTCCTCATCTCCTCTCCCTCATCGTCATGCTCATCTCTCTCTCTCAGGTCTCTCTCTCTGCTCTCCGCCGCCTCTCTCTCTCTCATCTCTCTCATCTCTCTCTGCTCCTCTCTCTCTCATCTCTCGTGCTCTCTCGGTGTCGTCTCTGCTCTCTCTCTCTCTCTCTCTGTCTCTCTGCTCTCTCGTCTTCTCTCTCTCCTCTCCTCTCTCTCCTCTCCGGCTCTCTTCTCTAAATCTTCTCTCTCTCTCTCTCTCTCTTCTCTCCTCTCTCTCTTCTCTCTCTCTGTCGTCTCTCTCCTCTCTATCGTCTCTCTCTCTCTCTCTATCTCTCTCTCTCTCTCTCTCTTCTCTATTCTCTCTCTCTCTCACCTCTCGTCACCTCCCTCTTCTCTCTCTCTCCTCTCTCTTCTCTCTCCTCTCTCTCTACTCTCTCTTTCTCTGCTTCATCTATCTCTCTCATTTCTCTGTCTCTCTGCTCCGTCTGCTCTCAGTTTCTTCAACAACCGGGCTTATCTCTCTCTCCTCCTATCTCTCTCGTCTCTTTCTCTGTGCTCTTCTGGTGATTCCTTAGTTTCTCTACCCTCTCTACTCCCTCTCTCGTCCTATCTC